GGCCGTTCTGGAATTGGTACAAAAACAAATTAACCATATGATCTCTTTATTTATAAATGCATGGATATGTATTATAATTCTAGTTGAGTATTGAATTGTTTATGTGCTATTATTCACTGAGCTTGGCTCGCTTTATGTTATGTCTGTTTCTATAGGCACTCAACCAGGAGGTCATTCTTAACCCATGGCATCCATGCCTCTTGTGTCAACCTCAGAGTGTCCAGGCACCTAAATGAGTATGCTAAGCTTTTGGTTTTGCACCCTAATTGTCAGTCTAAGGCTGAAGTGTACATGACTCTTTTCCTTTCAATGTTTTTTCTTGTACGCCCAATCTCCAGGGATGTTTTTTCTTGTACCCTAATTGTCAGTCTAAGGTTGAAAGTGCATTTTATCGCACTGTCTTGTGCGCCTGTATTGCATTGTTTTGCGCGCTCCTTTGTTTGGAAACACTGGGATGCGTCCTTATACCTTTCTGAACCACCAGGATACGTCCCTACATTTCTGTTTCTCCCTTCTTTCAAAACACCAGGATACGTCCCTATGTTTCCCTTTCTCCTTCTTTTCCGAAACACCGGGGATACATCCCTATGTTTCTCCTACCTTTCCGAAACAACAGGATACGTCCCTATGTTTCTTCCTTCTCTCCAAAACAACGGGATACGTCCCTATGTTTCTCTTTCCATTCCGAAACAATGGGATACGTCCCTATGTTTCTCCTCCTTGTTCGTAACACTGGGATACGTCCCTAATCTCTGGGATACGTCCCTAATCCTTGGGATACGTCCCTAATCCTTGGGATACGTCCTTAATCTTTGGGATACGTCCCTAATCCTTTGGGATATGTCCCTAATCTTTGGGATACGTCCCTAATCCTTGGGATACGTCCCTAATCCCCGGGATACGTCCTTCTGTTTCTCCTTCGTTTCGAAACATAGGGATACGTCCCTATGTTCCTCCCTCTTTGGTTAAGAGCATTTGGAATACGTTCCAATGCTTATACCTTTCTGAAACACCGGGATACATCCCTATGTTTCTTTGCATGATCAGAAGTTATGTTCGGCTTCTTGCATTGTCAGTTGCATTTTGCCCCTGCCTTCAGGCGCATATCTTTACCTATAGCCTGTATGCTTTGTCTAAGTCTTCGGCCTTGTCAAAAATGGGTCGTCTCTGGGCTTTGACACTCACTCTCGTCATTGTTATGACTTTCGAGTTCTGTCAAAGAGGGGCAACTGTAGACACCCCATTTTTGACCGTCCTCAAGACTTGGACGTCATCATTTGAGCACTCGGTGATCATCCTTGTTCGTGTTCGTCTTGAGTTCCCGGAGGTCTCGGCTACGCGCCCTGCCTCAGGATCTCTCGACTCGACTGTTTTGTGTCTGGTTTTGCACCAAACACTTGTTGTTTTGCTTCTGAGGGTGGGAAGTAGCTTGTAGGCCATCCCCACACCTCACCGGCCATGGATTGAGGCCACCGGCCTTGTTTCCTTGCCACCGGCCATTGGTGATGGCCGGTCGGCACTATTGATGGTCGGTCGGCATTGTGTTTTGGTCGGCCGGCCACTGTTTTTGATCAATCGGCCACTTTTCCTGGCCGAGACCTTTTCTTGAGGGAGCTTGACCCTTTTGAACCTTTTTTTTTAGCTTCTTGAGGAAGCTTGAACCTTTTTAGCTTCTCCAAGAAGCTTGACCTTTTTTTTAGCTTCTCCAAGAAGCTTGACCCTTTTTTTTTAGCTTCTCCAAGAAGCTTGTACCTCTTGACCCCTTTGCCTAGCTTCTCCAAGAAGCTTGGCCCTTTTGATCCAAGCTTCTAAGAGAAGCTTGGCCTTTTTGCTCAAAGCTTCCAAGAGAAGCTTTGCCCCCTTGGTTTCTCTATAAAAAGAGGGCCTCTCCTCCCCTTTAGAGGGTTAGAAAAATCTGATATAGATCATAGATATATCACTCCCTCTCTGTATCTCCCTCTCTCTCTACATTTGTGTGGATTAGAGGGTCCAAAAGGGGCTTGTTCTTGGCCTATTGCACACCACTTCATAGCCACACACTTCCATCATCACTTGGAGGTCCTTGGAGCTTATTTTTAGAGGTTGAGGACTGATTTTTGAGACCTAAAGGCTACTGGTTCTTGCTGGTCTTCAAAGGTAACTTCTTACCCTCTTTATTCTCCGTTTTTGCACACCCTTTTAGCCTGTCTTACTTGCGGATTTGGGCTTTGTGTATAACATAAAAAAGTTCTGTTTTGTTTGTGCTTAAGATACTTCATTAAGACCACTTTTGTGTTTGGGGTCGTTTACCCCGTCTTAGGCCCTGTTTGGCCCCATTTTGTGCAATTTTTTGTGAGTTTCGGGACCATATTATTTGGGCCTCCTCACCACTGAAATCTTGACGGATTTCAGTGGTGAGGATGGTGGTTTAAGGTCCTAGGAAGGAGAGGGTCATCCCCTCTCCTTGTTGTCTTCAAAAAGTGCCATTTTAGCCTCATGTGTGAGCACCATTTTTAAGTTCATGTTGGCTATGTCTTAAGTGTTATTTGTGCCTATTTTTCCATGATATAGCACTATTTTTACTTGGTTTAGACACACCATGCTTGCTTTGCATACTTGTCTTGTAATGCCATGAAATTTCCTTAACATGTATCTAGCATTTAGACCACTATGCTTACTTGATTTGGCTTAGCTTTGTGAATATTTTATGCATGTTTTAGTATGCTTGAGGTCTGTTTTGGGTCATTCGGGTCATCCATGCTTTGCTTTGTATAGCTACCATGTAACCCCCCCTCGGCTTGCCTTGAGTTTTAGACCATCGTTGCATGCTTAGCTTGAAATGTTTACTTGGTTTCGCACCTTCTATAACATGATTTCAGAGCTTTCTATGCATGCCATGTATCCATGTTTATCCTCTTTTAAGTGCGCTTCGAAGTTGCTCGTTGGTGCCTAAGTGTTGGATCTTGTGTGCATGCATGCTTGCATGTGTTTTGGCCCTCATTTCCACGACATTTGGCCGCTGTTTTGGACCTAGGAGAGAGCTGTCCAAATTAGTTTAAGACCATCCCTTTGGCATGTTGTTGCATGCTATACATGTTTGTATGTTTAGGTACTTAGCCTATTTACATGTTGCATGTTTAAGTGTCATCGCATTCGGCATGCTTCTTGTATTAAGTTGCTTTGCATATTTACATGTGTTATGCATTTCATGTTATTGCATGTGTGTCATTAACATTGATGTTATATGCCTTGCATGCTTACTTGTTTAGTTCATGTGCCTATTGCACATGGTTTTGTTGTTTGCATGATCATGTTGCACACTTAGCTCACATGCCTAGGTTGCATTTCATTGACCATGCAGCCCTTGCCTCTTGATCAACCATGATAGGGGTTGGGGCCCTTTGATGTGTTTTGTGCTTGCATTTTATTTGATATCGAAGTTGCACACTTGGCTCTTGGGCCATCATGCATTGAAATGCGTGATTGATGGCCCGAAGGTCGAGGGACATGCTCCCTTGAGTCCCTTGCATGATAGGGAGTGTGGTTGGTGCATACATTTGCTTGAAATACATTGCCATGCCTTGTCTGCCCTATGCTGCTGTCAAACAGGTTTCAGCACGAAGAATTGGCCGGCCGGCAGTGTTGAATGCCGACCGGCAAAATAGGTTTGGCCGAGAGCATAATGTTCAACCGGTGGTCATTCTCCATGGCCGGTGGCAAATCCCCTTAGCCGGTGATGTTGTCCCATAACACTCAGAGAAGCAACCTTGGGAGTTGTGCAATTTTCGGAGAAGCAGAACAATCAAAGCAGAGGCAAACTTGTGCATGGCAGCGACTTTCCGAGCGGAGCCGAGCGCGCATTGCATTGGACCCTCCTCCCGAGGCCGTTTGCTACTTTCATTAAATTAATTAATTTGTTTAATTAATTTAGTTGGTATGTAATAATTAATTAGCTAGGATAGTTAATTCATTATTCGAATTATATTATTCTTTTGGTCCCTCCGAGCGAGGGCGAATTTGTAATAAGTGTGGGTGATTGTGTGCATGTCTTACAACCCCCACTTCTTTCTCCCTTTTACTTACTTGCTTTGATGGTTAGTGATAGGACATGTTTAATTTAGCATACCTTATGCTATTCATGCGTGCATCATTCATCAGTATTGCATGCACCGGGCTCGGTACATCATGCTAACTGCATTTGTACTTCAATTCCAAATTGAATACGTTCATCAATTGATTGCATTTCACATGCCATGTTTAGGTTAGCCGAGCCTATTCTAATTGCATCATGTATGTGTTGCATTAGTCAATTTGACATGAACTAGGACCATGCATGTTGGCTAACTAGTTTATTGTTTTGGCACGGAGTACGATGTAAGTATTTTCATGCTTTAGCATATCGCGTGCGTGTGAATGCTATCATGACGGCATGCTTACTATGTGGCTAGATGCTTATGTGATAAACTGTTTGAATGCCTGTGGGTGACGGTTAGATTGTCTGAGTTGGAAAAACTCGTTGAAATCCATATTTTAGCCTACTTGCGAGTAGCAAATTCCAAAGTTCTTTTTAAGACAAACGGATATGCAATGCTTATTTCCAAATTAGGCAATCTAGTCTATACTTGTTTGCCGTGCGCATAACATAGTAATTCTAGGCTAATAATCGGGATAAGAACACATAACGTTTTCAAAAGCGGATATCACGGTTAGTAGAGGCCGATCTTCGGATCGGGCGAGAGGGGGTGCTCATAGCTGACCTTCCCCAATCGTGCCCAAGCTCCCGAGCCGAGGCAACTTTGGTGATGACGGACACATGGCCTTTGGTTTCCTAAATTCCCCCATTAAAATATTTAGGTGGCGACTCTGTATCTGGCAAAGCAGTCCATGTTTGGCACTTCTTTTCAAAAATCTGTTTTCTCAAAACGATTGGCCGGATTTGGACTCTTTGGTTCAGATTAAGAACCATGACACAAATCGAGTCCGAACTGTAGCGAGGGCCCCACGCGGCTTCACCCAAATACTTAGGCACACAGAGGCTAACAAGGAAGACGAGCATTAAAAGTTGAGGCTGACCTCCAAACGCAGGACCTACGGAATCAGACAAAATACATAGTGAGATAACCTCAGTGAATAATAGTATGTGAATAACTCAATGTTCAACTTGAATTATAATGCAAATCAGAGTTTATATAATATAAAAGACAGGTAGTTAATCTGATTTCGTACTAATGTCAGAACGGTCTTGTTGGTTCACAAATTCACAGGTTGGCCCTTGGCCTGGTGGGTTCACATATTCACAATTAGCCTTTGGCTTTATAGATTCATAATTGAGATTCATAATTTCACAACTTGGCCCTTGGCCCTTTGAATTCATAGTTTCACACGTTGGCCCTCGGCCTCATGGATTCATATTTTCACAAGTTGGTCCTCGGCCTCATAAGTTCACAAATTCACAAGTTGGCCCTCGGCCTCATAAGTTCATAGATTCACAAGTCGGCCCTTTGCCTCATAAGTTCATAGATTTCACAAATATTCATAATTTCACAAACTGGTCCTCGGCCTCATAAGTTCACAAATTCACAAGTTGGCCCTCGGCCTCATAAGTTCATAGATTCACAAGTCGGCCCTTTGCCTCATAAGTTCATAGATTTCACAAATATTCATAATTTCACAAACTGGCCCTCGGCCTCATAAGTTCACAAATTCACAAGTTAGCCCTCGGCCTCATAAGTTTATAGATTTCACAAATATTCATAATTTCACAAGCTGGCCCTCGGCCTCATAGATTCATATTTCACAAATGGCTCTCGGCCTTATAAATCATACAGAAGCACATAGTTCCTTCTAATTATTCACATGAGGTAACATTGTTACGTTACGTTCAACAGAGTGCTAATAGCAACTATTACTAGATTGAACTTCATAATGCAGTCACATCCCATTTGTTTGTCATGAATTACTACCTCTAGTTCACAGATAACAGAATGTTAGTACATATTAAACGAGTCTAGAGATACGCAGATACCATAATCTCGTAATACACTTACATTCCCCTTGTTCGTTATAAATTCATACAATTGACTTACAGATAACAGTGTGCTAGTATCCATTATCAATAATAAACAGAACGTAGTACCCAGTAATGCTCTTAGATTTTCCCATGGTTTCTCATAAGGTGACATAATTGTCCCACAATAATAGAACAACACTATTAACAATAAACAGAAGGTAAATGCTCAATTACATTAATAAGAGTGGAACCATTCACATCATAACGTGGGTCACATAATCGTGTTATTGACATTCAATTCTTTCTCCGGATTGAGTCATTCAGAGGTTCATCTGATATTTAACATAATTTCATAATGGTTATTAACGTACAAAACAACCTGTAGTCTTATCCAATTATTCGTTTTGATGATCCACTCTAGGTAGATATCTGTATCATGTCAGTGTGTGCCAAATCCTTCAATGTTTACATAAGTTCACACTAATTCTCGTTCCACATACATGTTAACTTAATTGACCACGGGGAACAAGATGTTAATAAGAATCATTATTAACGGTAAATAATGTGCATTAGAGTACTATTACTCACAGTGCTATAACGGAGTGCTCGTCCTTCTCAGGTTATGCCCTACACGTGTACACAACTTATATAGTAAGGCATCAAACACAAATTCCAGGAATACCAGAGGGTTAAGCATGTAAAACAGAGCAAACAATATTTTGCAGCATGAAGTTTCAAACCTACTTCTCTAACTCAATATATATATATATATAAGATTACTAGTCTTACAAAACACATTATGGAATTTACACCCATTCATCTTCTATTCAAAGAAAGAAAGGATTTTTATGAACATTTCCACATTCCCCAAAACTCCTTAAATTTCTTGTGTTTTCACCAAAAACCAAACATTTCCCCATCCCCATAAGAAATCCTATTAAATCATTCTCTTGGTTTAATAACTAAGCAAGCCCACAAATATTTAGTAAAATGATTTGAGATTAAACCCATTCTTGAAAACTTCACATTTTAGGTCACAAAAATTAATATGAACATAGTTAATACCATCCCACATAATCATCACAATTCAACATATCTCAAAAGGAATTCTTAAATTCCATTTCAACATTCCATAATCGAATTTATATCATCCACATTATCAATAAATCTTTTCCCCCAATTTCCCTTTTATTAAAACATAATTTACAATGCATTTAACAAAGTTCAATTGCAAAATTTAAACATAATTTGCAAACATAACCAAATTCCAATTAAACTTGAACACATCTAATTCAACCTACCACTTTCATGATTCAACTATCAATTTGGGCCAAATCATGGATTATCATAAAAAATCAACCTAGGTTTCTAAGAAATTTACAAATTTCAAATAAAATTTTAAACCTTCTTAACCCATTACTTTTTGTTTCAAATCTTCCCATTTATTAGGCACCCTAGGTCCATAACCCATAAACCATACTCTAAACCCCATAATAGAATCCCAACATACCTCAAAAATTTCGAAATTCCATTCGGTAGAAAGTGGTGATCTCCTCTTATTCTCCATCCTTGATGCAAGATCCATGGTTGATTTGTTGAGAAAAGTTGAGGAAATCAAGGTTTTGGGAGCTAGGGTTTCGGACATGGAAGAGGGAAGAAGAAGAGAGGAAAAGAAAATCTAAGAAATGACTCAAAAATCAAGTTTTTGAGCTGCTGCCCCGCACATCGCCGCACGTGCGCCGCATTCCCTGCACGTGCGGTCCTGCTTCCAGCACAGATATGAAAACTTCAAACATGCGTAACTGTCTCATCCGGACTCCGTTTAAGGTCATTCTTGTGTCCAAATTGTAGCCCCGAAAATAATCTTTCCAATGGTTCTAACCTCACATCCAAATTCTAAATGTGGAAAAAGAAAAGGGCAAAAGAGTATCAGCTGATCGTGGGCGATTTGGTCGAATTAAAGTGTTTGGTCCAATCTTACCTCACCATCATATTACCACCACAATCAATACCCCAAAATAAAATAGGGAGGTTCCAAATACACTAATAAAAATTCCACAGATATAAATCACTTTTCACATAAAGCAAGTAAATACACAGAATAACAGATCAAAAATATACTAGAAATAGATATAAGGGTCGGGTTATTACAGCCTAACTTTCTCCGTTTGCTTTGGTTTTTGGCACACACCTTGTTTGCTCTCTCTAGAGGGACACTGTGGCCCGAGAGACCACCTTTGTGGTCGCACACCACTTTTGATGCTTAACAGTCAGTTTTCAGGGCCTTCGGTCGCGCGTTTTGGCCACCGAACCCTCGTTTTGCATCCGTCTTGGTTCATTTTCGGCATGGACCCTATTTTCATTATTTGGAAGGTGGTACAAGGGTGGGAGACAACCTTTCTCCTTGGAGACCACCTTTCCCTGGTCGGCCGGTTTTCTTGTCAGGTAGCTGGTCTCCCTCACTATTGGGCCATAATTGTTGGTCTCCCACCACACCACTAGCTTACACTCACTTGGGAGACCACCAATCAGGGTTGCCGACCACATTTTGCTCACTTGAACCTTTTGAACTGGTCGGCCGACCAGGGGGAGTGGTCGGCCGACCACCTAAACTGGTCGGCCAGCTTTCTCATTTTCTGTCTCACTGAGTTGGTGCCAGCTGGAAGCCACAGACTGCATCCTCCATACACGTGTATGGAGGATTGACAACATTATTTTCGCTTCTTAAAGAAGCTTGGCCCTTTGCTCTAAGCTTCTAAGAGAAGCCTGAACCCTTTTTAGCTTCTTAAAGAAGCTTGACCCTTTGGCTTTAGCTTCCTCAAGAAGCTTGACCCTTTTTGCTATAGCTTCCTCAAGAAGCTTGGACCTTTGCACAAGCTTCTTGAAGAAGCTTGGGCCTTTGTTCCTCTATAAGAGAGACCCTCTCCCTCATTTGCAAAGGTTCAGATTTTTGGTCTAAGGCATATATACCTCTCTTTCTATATCTCTACATTCAAGATAAAAAAGGGCCTTGTTCTTGCACCATTGCATATCAACCCTTAGCTGAACACCTCCAACACCAACGCAAGCTTCTTGGAGGTCATTTGCACAGGTTAAAGGCTGAGTTTTTGGTCCAGAGGTTGCTGGCCTTGCAGAGCTACAAGGGTAACACACTAGTTCCCTCTTTTTAGCATTGTTTTGATCCTTGTTTTAGCTATACTTGCAAGCATATTTGGGCTTTGTCATAAATTGAAAAAGTCTTATCTTGAGGTTATTAACATGTTTTTTTAAGACCATTTTTCTATTGGGGGTCATCTACCCCTTCCATGCTTCATTTCATCTTATTTTGTGCCATGCCTTAGGGCCATTGCATTGACCTTTGTTTGGTCTTTTAGCCACTGAAATCCAGTGGATTTTTAGTGGCTAGCATGCTGTTTTGGGCAGCAAAATCTGAGAGGGGTGACCCCCTCACCCCTTGTCTTGTTTACTAGCATGTTTGGCCTTACAAACGAGCCCTTATTTGCATGCTTCCATGCCATGTTTCAGGCCATTTTTTGGTGGGTTTTAGGACCTGCATAGCATCCGTCCAGAGCCCATTTTTCCATTTTGGGTGTCCATCTTACATGTGCAGAACAACCCCTTTATAGCCTATCAAAGGAGCCTATCATTCTTGCATGCATAGACCATGTTTCAGTGAGTTTTTGGGCTTTATTTGGCATGTCATACCTCTGAATTTTGCTGTTTTGGTGGCCACTTGATTGCCTCATATACTTGTAGTGCAAATCCTCTTTATTGTGTTGCATGCTATTTTGGTCCTTGATTCTAGCACTTTTTGGCTATGCTTTAAATTGATTTTGTGCATGTTTTGAACTGCCTTAGCTCTGTTTTTATGCCTCATGGTCAAATAATGCTTGCTATGTATGGTTGTAGTTCAATACCCTTGCCTAGCTTTGAGTTTTGGAGCCTATCACATGCTTATGTTGAGGTGTTTCCATGTTTTGGGGCAATTGTGCATCATATTTCAGAGCTTACGTGTATGCCATATTCCCATGTTTTTTGCTCTTTAAATGCGTTTGATAGTCGTGCTAGTTTGCCTCGTTTTTGGACCACTGCATGAGCTTCATTTCTATGCATGTTGAGCCATCATTTTAGGCCATTTTCCCACTGTCTTGGACCTACCTAGGGTCTTTTTAGGGCTGGTTTTTCCGTTCGTGCATTGCTTTGTGTACCTCTAGTGTAATGCACTTTACTAGTTTCGGTATTCGGGCCATCTAGCATGCATTGTGTAACATATTTGCATGATTCAGGACCATCTTGCATATCATTTCAGAGCTGGAAAATGTATGATTGTATGCCACATTTCATCCCTTGCCATGCTTTGGTAGAGTGGCATTTGATGCCTTAGGTTCGGTCCCTTGCATTGGGCATGTTTGCATTTGTTTTTGTTGCCTAATTCCATCATGTTTGGCCACTGATTTGGGTGTGGCCGAGGCCCATTCACTTTGGTTTAAGTCCATCTTGCATTGTGTATGCCACATAGTCCGTGTTGTTGCATGAGTTGATCATTGCATTGAGCACGCCTCGTTCATCTCATTGTGTTTGTTAATCTTCACATGTGCACTGTGTATGCCATTGTTTAGTCCATGTGCATTGAGTATGTCATGTGTAGTTCATAGCATTGTGTATGCCATTTGCATGCTTCCATGTCATTCCTTGCATCTTTGTATCACTTAGTTGCATTACAGTAGGATTGCATACTAGAAGTTGCGTTGTGCATGCCATTCTTGTTTCATCATGTTTGGGATAGGAGTTAGCCCAAACACGGGAAACGAGGAGCGTTTCATACTCCAAGTGATGAAACGTGCCTCGATTCCCAGTCACCGACACTCTTGACCATCCATGATGGAGTTGTTGGTTTTAGTTGCTTATATGTGCATTCATGTACCATTGAGTCGTACAATTCGACTCCTCGGCCATCATGCATCGGGATGCGTGATTGGTGGCCTGGGGATCGAGGACTACACTCCCTAGAGCTTATGCAATGATGGAGAGAATGGTCGGGCACACATATGTTAAAAATACCTTGCCTTCTCTCTCTCTTGCCTTTGTTGCAGAAAAAGCAGAAACCAAGAGAATGAACTGGTCGACCGACTAGGTTTTCTGGCAGGCCGACCATCTTTTCTGGTCTTCACCACCAAGGGTGGTCGGCAGGTGGTCTCTCTTGTCCATAGCTGGTCGGCAGCCTTCCCACAACTTCCCTGGGTGGAGTTTCATCTCTCTGGAGCCTCGTGCAACTTTCTGAAATCAATTGCAAACAAAGGCGAGTCGAGGCATCGTGGAGCTGCGGCGGCCTCTTTAGTTTCATAACTTAGTTAATTTGTTTAAATTAGTTAAGGGTTTTGTAATAATTAATTAGCTAGGGTAGTTAATTAATTAGTTGATTTGTATTATTTATTCGAACCCTCCGTCGAGGGGGCGAATTTTGTAATAAGTGTGCATGAGTGTGTGAATGTCTTCCAACCCCACGTCTTTCTCCTTTTTACTTAACCGCTTGTGATGGTTAGTACTAGGTCATGTTTCAATTAGCATTCCTTATGCTATGCATGTTTACATTCATTCATTTGTATTGCATACACCGGGCTCGGCGCATCATACTAACTGCATTGTATTTCAATTCCTACTTGAATACATGATTATCGAGTTGCATCTCATATGCCATTTTAGAATAGCCGAGTCTATTTCTAGTTACATTTTGCATGTGTTGCATTAGCCATCTTAACATAGCTAGGATCATGCATTGATTACTAACTAGCTATTGTTTTGGTTCGAAGTATACTGTAAGTGTTTATGTTTTAGCATCCTGTATGTGTGTTAGTGTTGCCATGATAGCATGCTTCCATGAGGCTAACTGCTTAAGTGATTAACTGCACGGATGCCTGTGGATGAAGGCTTCATTGCTTGAATTGGAACAATTCATCAAAATGCGAGTTTTAAGCCCACTTGAGGGTAGCAAATCCATGTCTTAGCCTACTTGCGAGTAGCACCTTCAAACCATTTTCATACAAACACGAGATGATTTGTTCCAACTTAGGCGATCTAGTCTATTCTTGTGTGTTATGCGCATCACATAGTAAATTCTAGCTAATAACCAAAATAAGAACGCATATGTTTTCAAAAACAAGATATCATGTTTAGTAGTGGCCGCTCTTTGATCGAGCGAGCGGGGGTGCTCATTTCATGACCTTCCCCAATTGTACCCAAGTTCCCGAGCCGAGGCAACTTTGGTGATAACGGACACGTGGCCTTAGGCACGAGTCAGGGTTTCCTAAATTTCCCAAAAATAAAATATTTAGGTGGCGACTCTGTATCTGGCAAAGCAGTCTATGTTTGGAACTTCTTTCTTAAAAATTAGTTTTTCAAAACGATTTGCCGGATTTGGACTCTTTGGTGATTTATCGGTCTCGCATTGCACTTTGCGGGATTAGATTCAGAATCGTGACATTTGAGTCTGAACTGTAGAAGGCGCGTCTACAGTTTCTGGTGACTCTACTGGGGACTTAGAGAACTTGACTCGAACTCATGATATCTTGTTTTGATTACACTTATGTGTTTCTTTGCATTGCATTTGCATTGGTGCGCCTAGGACACCGTGTT